CGCTCCACTTCGCGCTTTAAGATTCCCGTCCCTACCCACGAGGATAGCGTTTGTTCAGTCAACCACAGGTCAGAAATTGCCAATCTTCTCATCCGGGCCAAGATCGTTGTCTGGGACGAGGCTCCGATGATGCATCGGCATATCTTTGAGGCTGTAGATCGCACTCTCAAAAGACCTGATGAAGACTGTGGACCTGCGAACGAACATCGTCCCTTTGGAGGAAAGCTCATGGTCTTTGTACAGCCACCATCGAGGTAATGCATTTTGCACGTTCCTCCCACTGCATCTCAAAGGAACATTTAAATGTTTTACATTTCTTCAATAGATTCTTTGTCTTGTCTGAAAAATATAGCGTACCTTGGAGTAAGTGAGAAAGAAGATGGGGGTTCGTTTATTACTAAGTCTAGGGTTTAAATACTAAGGGACACTGCCCTTAATTATCTCACTGAGTACGCTTCTTGATAATGTACAGTCACGAAAATGCGACAGCTTTCCTCTCCCTTTGAAGAACGAATTATGAGTTCTTGGATTTCAAAGGCATGTAGTGGATGGACATAATTTATGTCTTACTTCGATTGCGGGTCCGCCTGCGTTTACGCCTTGGCGGCAATAATGATTCTTCTTCTTCATGTTGTTCTTCGTCTTGTTGTTCTTCTTGTTCATCATCAGAATCTGCAGGGGAATCGGCTGTTATCAGAGGATTTGGTTGTTCATTAATGTTTTCTTTATCTTTCCAGTAGGAAGTAAGAGAAGATCGTTCAACAAAGTTCTCTTCTGGTTCCCAGGTGTTGAGCTTGTTGGAATAGTTTTTCCATTTGACGAAATATTCTTTCTTCGTACTGTCATGTGTATGTTGCCTATGTGCTACCACTTTTTCCACCTCATAGGTGTCTGATTCATCGGCGTCGTCAAGGACCAGTTTGAGTTGAGATGGTGCGTATGATCTTTCTAAAATAGCGCCAGTTCCATCTTTAAGGATATATGCGCCACCCGCGTTGCGGTTGACTACTGTGTATGGTCCTTCATATCTTGGTGATAATTTTTCGCCGAGAATTGGATCAAGTGTCATCACTTTGGCTCCATCGGGGAACTCGTTGAGTAATACTGTACGATTGAACCTCTCTATCATTCTCTTTTGAGTGTTCTCTGTATTTTCTTTGATTGCTGGAAAGACTGTTTTGGTCATGTACTCAAGTCGTTCAAGAAGTTTATCTTGTGTTAATGGATTGTTTTTCTCATCACAGAAGTGGCTGAAACCGTTGTTTTGACGTGCAAAGAAGAGTGAAAATGGAGATGAGTTGTGTAGTGATACAATGCGTGTGTTCATCGATAATTGAATGAAAGGAAGGTGTTCGTCCCACATATGCCCCTCCTCGAGAACTTGTTTTCTGATCATTTGTACGGCTGTTTTGACATGGTTTTCGGCCACACCATTGCCGCGAGGGTGGTAAGGGGTAATAAGACGATGGTCGATGCACATTTTTGTGGTCAAAAGTTTTGTAATTGTATTGACGAATTCTCCACCATTGTCAGATTGAAGTATTTTAGGAAAGCCGATCAAACAGAATAATTCCCATAGCGCAGTGGCTACAGTTAGACCTTTTTTGTTTGGCAAGGCGCGCAAGAAAACAAATCGCGTGCAAACATCAACAACTACAAGTAGTCGGACGTTTTTGTTCTTTGTCAACGGAAGCGGACCTGCCAGATCAATGGCTATGTGTTCTCCTGGAAGTTGAGCATTGATGGCTTTCATAGGATGGTATCCTTTTCGTGCAATATTGAATCGTTGACATTCTCGGCATCGTTTGATAAAATCGACACATTCTTGTGACAGATGAGGCCAAGTAAGTCCTTGTTCATGAATAGAATTGACCATTGCGTTTGCTCCAATATGTCCCATTGCATGGGTTGTAAACAATATATTGTTTCTTTTAACTGGATCTACTTCTTTGCGTTCAGTTTCTTTATCTTGGATTAGATGCATGTAGGAAATAATTTTCTTTTGATCAGCTTTAGTTGTATTTTTATTTGTGATTTCAATTGGATATAGGCGTGATAGGGCATCGGGTAATACGTTAAGAATGCCTGGGCGATAGTGCACCGTGAAAGTATAGTTTAAGATTGTTTCTTGCCAGTTGGTGAGCATTGAGTTGAGCTCAGGTTGAGTATGGATGTATACAAGTGAACGATGATCGGTATATAAGTCAAAGTGTCTTCCCCAGAGGTAGTAGTGAAAACGATTGAGCGCAAAGACAATCGCTAACAATTCTCTATGCGTTGCTGAATATCTGCGTTCACGATCTTGCAAAGATCGCGACATGAATGATATATAGTTGATAGTGTCTGGGTACTTTGGACCCTTTGGAAGTTGATAGAGTACAGCGCCAATCCCGACGTTAGAAGCATCAGTTGCTACATAGAAAGGTTGACTGAAGTCTGGGAAGGACAAGACAGGGGCTATGAGCAAGATATTTCGTAGTGCATCAAAGGCGCGCTTCTGCTCATCATTCATTACGAAAGAGTCGGTTCGACTGCGAAGTGCATCTAGAGGTGCTGCGACCGTACTGAAGTTTGGAACATATTCACGGAAAAAATTACACGTTCCGAGGTAAGATTGGATTTGTTTGGCGCAAGTGGCATATTCCACCTTGTGCATGTTCACAAGCTTCTTGGTGTCAACACTCTTGCCATGGAGACCCACAAGGAATCCAAGGAGTGAGATCTGTGTGCTGAAGAAGTTGCATTTATCGCGGTTGATAATTAATTTTGCCTCGTTGAGACGTTTAATTACAATCTTTACGTGTTCAGCGTGCTCTTTTCTCGAACGTGAAAATATAACGATGTCATCAATAAAGTTGCACACAAACGGTAGATCACCGAGGATCCGGTTCATTCCACGCTGAAATAGACTCGACAGAGGCTTCAAACCAAATGGTGCTTTTTTGAACATGTATTGAGTACCCTTATGCATGAATGCCGTGAGAGGTTGGTCCTCTTCATGGATTGGTAGTCTGTGGTATGCTTGTGTGAGATCGATCGTGGTGTACACAGCGTTGCCTGATAGGCGGTTGAGAATATCTGGTATAAGTGGCAATGGATAATTGTCGTCTGGTAGGTGTTTGTTTAAGGGTCTTGGATCAAGACACACACGCCATAGTGTTTTGTTTCCTTCTGCATCTTTCTTTGCTGCTAGCGTTAATGAATTGTTATGGACGTTGCCTACAGGGGCTAGTTTGATTACATCGTCATTCTTCCATTTCCTGATTGCTTCATCGAAAATAGGAATTTGTTTTTCTGCAAATGGACGCGGTCGTCTAAAAAGCACAGTGCCTTCAGGTACAGGAAGAAATACCTTCATTTCCGGAACGGGACAATGACTGGTGACGGGAACTTGTTTATTCTCCTTTAGTACACCTTCAATAGCCTTGAGGAAGGTTTCTTTTTCTTTGATATATTGTTTTGTTTTTTCCTGACTTGGAATTTTTCCTGGTATGAGTGAAGGTTTGTGGTCCGGATCTGGATCTGGAAGAGTTGTAGCATCCGCTCCTGGGTCAGGTAGTCCGGTTATGCCCAGTCCAAATCGGTGGAAGAGATCGATTCCAATTGTGAATGGATATTGCTGATCTATGACCTCCAGTGGTGCTGACACATAGTGAATTCCAACCTGTAGTTCGATGTTATCTGTTCTTCCAGTTCTTGGGATTGTGATTGACTGATCAACGAGCGTGATGACTCCATCGACTGGGTTGATGTTCACTTTGTGTTTTTCTGCTATGTCCCGACGAATGCAAGAGTCTGTGGCTCCTGTGTCAACTAGTGCTTCGTACTTCTCTCCTTCGAATGTGATGGTAGTGAGAACTCTTTTTTCTCTGTCGGAGATGTTGGGTGCTTGTAGTGCTCGCAAAGTGATTGTTTTATTGTTTGTTGTATTGTAGAAGCTAAGCGAATCCATTTTCCCTAGCAGTTCCTGTAAAAGGGTGTCCTCAAGTCGTATCGCCCGAATGTTATTGTGTAATTGTGTTGATCCTGGTAGCGGCCCCTTCATGTGCAGAGGATATAAAAAGGCATATAAAAAATATCCAAAGCCCAAGGAACGGAGTGTTTACTTCCATAACTGACATATCTCTTCATAGTGGGCAACAGAACACAGAATAAAATAGCAATAGACAGCACATGTTTTTTTAAAATGTAATCTCTCCCCTGTATTTCGCCCCAAAGATACAGTTGAGAGTACAAGTGCTTTAGATGATGACATACAAGAACTACTCTGGCGAATCTTGCAGTGAGGGTTACAGGTTAATAGTAGATGGACATATTCAAGAGTGTGGTGTGCGAAAAATAAGAAGACTTTGTTGTTTGGAGAATAGGTTGGTGTTTAGTAGGATAGTTGAACAAAAAATGTTACAATGGTTGTCTTATATGCTTGGTATCATATATACATTCTCATCCCATAGTCGCTATGGATATTGTCGAGATCTACAGAGATGTAACAAACACCATATGATAACTTGGACCTGAAAGGCCTCCTAGGTGAATGTTTTAAAAAAATATGGGTAATGCAATAATGGTGAGGGTGCATGCATTGTGGAACGTCTCAGATGAAGTTATCGTGGTTTTTATAATGTTTGATGTAACATACTTTGTAGGAAGTTACGATTGTTATAATATTTGTTGATATGCGGCCTCCTATACAGATCGTTGGTAAACATGCCAATGGTGAAAAAATAAATGTCATAAAGAGTGCATGCATTGTAGAACATATTAGATATAGTTATTGTAATTTTCGTAATGTTAAATATAAGTAGATTGTGGATAAACACCACTGTGATCAAGAAAGAAATATTGTAAATTGTGCAAAGGATGGTGGAAGTTTTTAAAAAGATGGGTAATATATCTGGTGAATCTTATTGGAAGGGACGAGGATAATATTACATGTGTATTCCTTATATAAAAGCTTTATTTGTGCAAGTGGTATATCTACAGTTTTTAAAATTCTTGATCTACTCTTCTGCGGTCTCAAATGTTACTTCAAGAGGCTTCTTTTCTTCCATCGTACTTTTCTCTTTGGCTTGAATACTATCTAATACACTTTGCACTATGGTTTTTCTGTTGTTAGATCCTTCTTTTGCAAACTTACATAATATATCGGAATGTGGTTCGCGGGAACCAAACTTATCCATGTGCCATGTTTCGTAGTTGGAATAATCTTTCTCCAACAAACCTAGGTGAAAAATTAGTTCTTTTTCTTCTGCATTACCATCTGCCGAAACGTATTCCTCGCGGAGTTCTTCTTCGATAGCTGTTATTTTGCTATATACTTCTCCCATTGCCTTCAGAAAATCATGATGGTCTTTTGTAGTGTAAACACTTGAGGCATTCACATTTTCGCTTTCCATAGGTCCACCATCTTCTAGAGTTTTCTTAACATCCGACTCTTGCACCTCATCATCTACTTTTTCTACAAGTTCATCTAAAGTTTCCTTAATATTCGACTCTTGCACCTCATCATCTATTTTTTCTACCGGTTCACCTTTCTCTGTCGACCTATCCTTAGACCATTGTGGCTTAAAGCCCATAGCAAAGATCTTTTCTTTTTCCTTTTGGTTAAGATTATCATAGTCGACATTCTCTGCACCAATGTGGTCATCAGTCACCAAGCCAACTACAATGTTTTGCTTGCGGATCTTGAGAATGTGCTTTCCATTTACAAGTACATTCTTGGAATACTCCAATTGCTGCTTGTGAAACCTTTTCCATTTCATCTTGGATATATCTGTCGGTCCTTCCACTGGTAGTTCCTCTTCTACTTCGACCTCCTCGTTGAAAAGCATCTTTCTCTCTTCATCAGACATTTCTTGAAGTTTCATCTTGCTAAGCATGGAGCGTTCCAAGATATCCATCTCTGGAACATCACCACCGCCACGCAGATGATCAAGCGTAAACAGGCCAACGTATGTATTCTTTCCACATAGCTTGACAATGTACTTAGCCTTCATCGTAAAGTTAGTTGCATACTCAAGCATGTCGTTATTAGGATGAACCATCCATCCTCCATCCTTTGCAAGTGGTATGTCTTTCTCTGATCTAATGTTACGCACCGTTGTGGCCAGTGCAAATGTGTGTTCATCTTTTTCATCCTTAGAAACATCTACATTAGAAGATGGCTCTGCATTTTTGGGCATCTCTGAATGCCTTTTCTTTCGAGAAGTCTTCTTCTCATCATCCTTAGATGGCTTTTTATGAGATAGTTTTTCATCAGGGTTATCCTTAGAGGTATCATCTCCAGATTCTACATCAGGTCTGTTATTGGACTTGCCATCATCAGAGTCTTTATCTTTAGAGGAATCATCGTCAGAGTCAGCATTATCAGACGTATCACCATCATCTGTATCATCGTCAGAATTCTCATCAGCAGAAGACTCTTCTATTTTTTCTACATCTGCTGAAGTTGCCTCTTGAAGACCCATCTTGGCCAATATGCGTGCCTCTTTCTCAGATATTTCTGGCGCAGGGAGATTCTTGCCCATGAGCTTAGGTGGACACAATGCAATGTAGAGATTCTTTTCCTTTAGCCTAATAATGTACTTGCCATTTACAGTAAAGCTTTTTGCATACAGGAAAGCTGGATTAGTTGCATAACGCGTCCATATACATGTATTAGCGAGTGGTACATTTTTCTTGGACGTTATGTCAACTACCTTTGGACTCAACGGAAAGGAGACGGCAATTATATCTTCTTCATCATCATCATCGGACGGCTCTTCATCCGATGACTCCTGCTTGTTTCTCTTTCGCTTCTTTGGTTCTTCATCCTCGGAAGTCATATCGTCATCGGAAGACACAAACTTAGAAGTATGTGTCTTCTTTAAAGCCTTGGAAGACTTAGTACGCTTGTCGACAGGTGCGTTGTTGTTACTACGTTTTATATAACCTCTATCTTGATCTTGATGACGTCCACAGTATGTTTGACCAAGTTTGGCTACACTACCACAATTAGCACCCTTAATAGTTGTGCCTTGACACTTGCGCGCAGGATCGTGGACATAACAATGCATGCCTTCATCATCAACTTCCTTCATGCATTTGCGCTTGGACTTGGTGCACTTTTCTCCACAAAAGTAGTATCTCTCTACTCCCTCATCCTCATCAAGCGCCTTAAAGATCTTATTTGCATCTTTCTTGTTAAACTCCACTCCCTTCTTAGAGGAGAATGTCTCAAAGGCCTTGGTGATGAGCTCGATTGTAAGCTGAACGTACTTCATGTTTTTGGATATGAATAATATGGATTGTACTTGTGGTATGGTGGGTGTGAATGAGTTTTCAGTTTATGTGTGGTAGATTGCAGCTGCTTAGTACACTGATATAAAGAATTGCAATAAAAGATGGTTGTATAGGTATGGATGGTTGTATAGATATGGATAATTGTTGGTTGGTTACTAGATAAAGATTAAGCAAGAGGGAAGTGGACTCCTTTATTTATACTAATTCAGGAACACTGCCACAATGGACATTAATAGCGCTTGCTTATTAGCACTGCTTGGCGCTTAGTAACAAAAGAGTTTTAAAAAGGCATCTAAGTGGTTAATAATGTAGTGTTCCTCGTATGACGTAGATCTTGCTTATTAAGACTGCTTGGCATTAAAGACGGGGTTTAAAAATGGTTAAGAATGTAGTATTATTTTATGACGTAGGTTTGTACATGTGTTTATCCTCTTAGTTAAATAAAAAGGAATGCTGTAGAATAGCATAGAATAGCATCCGATCTACTACAATAATACCATGGCTTTTAATAATAGATACCGGTGCATATTAGCGTCTAGGCAGTTAATACCGTATCTCAACGCAGACTAAATAGGCTATGTATGTCTATTCTTTTAAAAACCTGCAATAAGTCTACAAATTACCATTAACATCCATTTGTCGCTTCGTACTACGTACCTCAAAGCGCAATGGAAAGGCCGGGTTGCAGTATTACTGGTGGATCCATTGGTGTGTCCTCATCAGAGTACTGGTCCTCATCAACATCACCATGAAGATTAATACCAAGAAATTTGTTCTGGAGTTGTGCCATTGTATTTCCATCCTCCACTAGCGCACCAACATCAACATATCCCATTGGTTGCTCAACGTCGTTCTCTGTTGTCGGATACTCGAATCCTTCGCGAAGCCAAGCTGTATGAATTGGTTCTGCAGAAATCTTCAACAAAGCAACCATCTTTTTCATGTTTAAGAGTAACAAAGATAACTTCAACTGCAAATTATATGTTTGTTTCTTATCCACCAACACAGGAGTACGGTTGTTGTGTTTCTCAAATGTGGAACCAAGGTCTGCAAACAGAGATTCCATCTGCGAGCGGAAACTACCAAAGGTGGTATTGTATAACGCTTCTTCCTGTGTAAGTTCCTTGTTCTTCTGTTTACGGTATGGATGAGCGAAATTTTGGACTCTAAGAATATCAGACTCATCTATAAGCCTCCTTAAGAACTGTGGATACCCTCCATCGAGAGCAATGCAATCCATCTCATGCACTCTCTTGTCCAACTTCATCGTTAGCAGCATTGTTCCATCAGCATTGTTCTTGCAAGATGCAGATTTGGAGACAAATAAAGCCATGCCATTACAATCCATTGCTACCTGTGTGCGTAATCCAGACTTTTTCAGCTTGTAAGAGTACATATCAGCACTACTCTCACCTTTGTATGTTGCTCTTGTATCATGACCATCAAGATGCAATGTAACATGCTTAAATAATGGAGGATTCTTTTCCTTTGCAGACAAAAGGCGTATTTTAATTGTGGAGAACATTGTTGCAATACAGTTGGTGATGTACTTGTTGTGCAAAGTATATTCTTTCTTATAAAACACAGAGTGCATTGCATGAAAACTACTTTTTGGCATGTGTGGTTCCATTGCTTCCATAGACAGTCCTTTGACAAGATGATAGAGCATTAAAAGACCTTTCTCCACTTCTTTGTATGGACCAGGATACTTAACCTTTGGCCAGATGTCAACAAGAAAGAAGTACACTGGAATAGGACCAAGGCGTCGATTTAGGGTTTCTTTTATTTCTGGCATATACCCAATTTCCTTGCTTACAGTACGATGATTATTACGTGGTGTAATTGTTGGCCATCCAGCGTTGAGGAAAGTCCAATGGTCATCAAGCAGTTGTTGGAAGTGTTTTGTTAGATCCATAATAATATTTATGTATTGGATTGTCATGACGTTAACCAACAATAACAATTTTTTAAAAAGGCTTATACTTAACTGCATACACAACAGCATGTAGGATGGTATCTATCATATAGCAAGCACATAGTTGAGAATACAAATATATTTTTATATTTTTTTCGGTAGCGGCCCCTTCATGTGCAGAGGATATAAAAAGGCATATAAAAAATATCCAAAGCCCAAGGAACGGAGTGTTTACTTCCATAACTGACATATCTCTTCATAGTGGGCAACAGAACACAGAATAAAATAGCAATAGACAGCACATGTTTTTTTAAAATGTAATCTCTCCCCTGTATTTCGCCCCAAAGATACAGTTGAGAGTACAAGTGCTTTAGATGATGACATACAAGAACTACTCTGGCGAATCTTGCAGTGAGGGTTACAGGTTAATAGTAGATGGACATATTCAAGAGTGTGGTGTGCGAAAAATAAGAAGACTTTGTTGTTTGGAGAATAGGTTGGTGTTTAGTAGGATAGTTGAACAAAAAATGTTACAATGGTTGTCTTATATGCTTGGTATCATATATACATTCTCATCCCATAGTCGCTATGGATATTGTCGAGATCTACAGAGATGTAACAAACACCATATGATAACTTGGACCTGAAAGGCCTCCGTAGAATGGATGATGAGGCGACAGTGATGCTTGGGTTGTTTGTGCTTGCTTGCTTTGATAGTTGTTGTTGGTTGCGGAGGTGAAGTGCTTGTTTTATTGTAAACTTATGGGCACGCGAAAGAGAAATTAGTTCCGGCTCTTCTTCGGTGGCTTTGTTGTTTGTTGTATGACTGCTTAATGCAAATTCCTCTTTCTTTGCGTTCTGAATTGATTGACATTCCTTTATTTCTCCCCCCTTTTCAACATCTAAACGCATATCCAAACAAGGGCTTGGCACTGACACCGTTGTGGCAGGCGTGGGGTTTGTACGTACTCGTTGTATGACAGGAATGCGATTAACACCAGTAGCATTATTTTTGATTGTTATGGCACATTGTGTATGTTGTGTATTCAGTTCTATATTGTCTATGTTGTTTATGTTGCTAATGCTATTGTTTATGTTTTTAGTGTCGAGGGACTCGACCAAGTGGCTCATAATGTCCGTCTTGTCTGCGTGATCATTAGGATTGCTGGTTGCCTGCGGGTTATTTTGCAGAGAGAAGGGTATGTCAGTGTTATTATTGCTTTGATTAAATGTTAATTCAGCATAATTATTTAGTTTCATTGCATTTATGGTGATGGTAGATTGCTTACCTTGAGTACCGTTCTGCTGTTGTTCTTGACGCATTCTTGTGCGGCAGTCTGCATAGGTGTGACCCCTGTTGCTGCAGAATGTGCAGAATCGGCAGTCCTTGGTTTCGTGCGAGTTATTCCAGCTGCAGCCTTGGCAGAACTTCATGCCTGCTCGAGGAGGTTGCCCGGGTGCTTGCCCAAAAGGGGGCTGACTGTTGCTGCGTCCCATGGGGTTCATTCTCCCTTGTCCTCGGCCTCGGAAAGTTCCTCTGAGTGCTCCGCGAGATGCTCCGCGTGATCCTCGAACTCCATTTGTGAAGGTGTTGTGCCGTGGCCCAAAAGACTGCTGCTGCTGTTGCAATTGATCCTGAGATCGTCCCACTGCCCGAGGTTGATCGATTGCATCCTCAGGTCCCGTTAATGTGCTCATCAGTGCACATAGGGTATTGATCGATTTAAAGGCTGTGGCGTCTGGGTTCTTTATCTGATGCTTAAAGAGCAGGAAATCGTACTCCATCCCCGGGATCGACCTCCCGAGTTGATGAAGGATGATGTCGTTATCGTCTTGGATTCCATTCACTCGTGCATGCCGAAGGATACGAGCGGAATAACGGTTATACGTCTCGCCCATATTGCGTCCCATGTCTGCCATGTTCCGCATGTTCTCCAAACGTTCCTCTTTGGTGAGGCAGATGCTGAGGAATACCTTCTCCGCCATGTCCCAACCGATGTTTCCTTCGATGGCGGCGAATCGACGTTGTAGCTCTTGTTGATAATGGTCGTCGTTAGTGAGGACGATGAGATACCGATGACACTCGTTTTCGAAGGTATCCATGCCGAGACGTGTTTTGAGATGGGTTGCGAAGCGCTCGAGAAAGACTCTGGTCTCATTGGTTTCATAGGCTGTGGCTGGATTCAACGAGAATCTGGGCATGTCGGGTGTTGGTTTGATGGCCGCTTGTTGGGTCATTGATGTTGCGACTACCGCCGTTGGGGTGTTGTTGGCAATTGTTGCGGTCGCTGCTGTTGGCGTTAATATGGTGGAGTGTGCTGAGATGGTGGACCCTGGGTGCTTCTTTATCCTGAGCTCATACAGCGATGACTCCAGTTGCTTGATCAATTGTGCATTGTCTTTCTCCTTGTCTTTGTTGATAGCAATTTGTTGCTGATAGTGTTGGAGCAGGTGCTGAGGTGGTCGTCCTGCCAGAAGGGTCGACATGTACACAATCTGTTCGGATAAAGCGATGTTCTCCGCTTTGAGACTGGCTAGCGTGTTGGTTGCGACTTCGCGGAAGTTGGATGGTGGTGTGTCGGGATATAGATCGGTGACACCAGTATCCGAGTCGACTTCCATTTCTTGGTCTCCTACATCGGAATCGTTATCCTCGGCGTTCTTGTCCTGCCATGTTGTTCCGACCGGTGCAAGTAATGCATCTGGCTCAGTGCCGCCAGCGGAAGAGTTGATCGACGTTGTCGGTTCCATGACTTCAGCGGTGGAAGATGTAGCTCCTTCCGTGATGGGGTCGTTAGGCGTTACAATAGTGCCGATGGCGATGGCTGCTGCTGTTGGTGCCATGATGGTGGTGGTTCGAGGTCGTTTGCCGTTGCTCTTTGCTATTTTTCCCATAGTTGATTCATTTCTGTTTTTTGAATGGGGTAGCATAATGAGCAATTAGTCTTTTTTGATTCAAGATCACGTTATGACAATGATCTTTCTTTTGTTCTTCCGATCTCTCTTGTTATAAATCTGGTCCGTTGGACTCTACTACACTATAATCGTTCGTGTGTTATTCAAGAG